TTTTAACCGAAATTACAGTTCTTCTCCCACAAAAATCATCGAAAAAAAACAAAATAATGACAATTCGGCACCCTCCCCATACGCCGACACCTACAAAATGAACCACTCGAGACGCGGAATCGCCATTATTTTCAACCACGTCAATTTCTCCGCCCCCGAATGTAGCAAAAGGGACGGATCGGACAAAGATCGCGACGATTTGYTGGACGTTTTGCACGATTTGGACTTTGACCTTTTGGTACACAACGATTTGGCAGCCCACGAAATCGTCGACGTCCTAATCACAGGTAGCTATGACGTACAGAGTTGCTTCGCAACGCACTACATTGTCATAGCAACGAAACAAATTGCACATTGCGATTGGTTGTTGCCTGGCAACGCACTAAATTCAAAACAAGTTGTCAGGGCAACGCGTAAATCGCACAATGCGATTGGTTGTTGCCCTACAGCCTCCTGTATTTTGTTTAAAATTGTAGTTTCGGGAATGGATCACAGTGATTGCGATTGTATGGTGATAATCGTGATGAGTCATGGAGATAATGGAAAAGTGTATGCGAAAGACAGGGATTATCGTACGAGTACTTTGTGGAAATATTTCAATGCGAGAAATTGTCCCACTTTGGCGGGAAAACCGAAACTGTTTTTTATTCAGGTTTAAAAAAAATAAAAATTTTTGTAATTTTTTTGTTTTGGTAGGCTTGTAGAGGTACAGGGTTGCACCCCAGTCAAACACTTCGCCATAATGGAGTCGAAGAAGACGCTTCTTCTGATGATGTTTCATACACAATTCCCATTATGGCCGATATTCTTGTGATGTATTCAACAGTGGAGGGTTTCTACTCGTGGCGTGACCCCAAAAATGGTGGTTATTTCATCCAATCATTAGTGAAACAATTAAGAAATTATTACAAAACAAAAGACTTGCTCACAATTCTCACTTTTGTTAATCGCGAAGTTGCTATTGATTTTACATCGTATGAGCCTCAACATCCCCAATTTTCAGGGCGTAAACAGATGTGTTCCATTGTTAGTATGTTGACACGATTGTTGTATTTCACAGAAAGAGAAATAAAAAATTAAATGATGCTATMTTAGTTATATTTTTGAATCTCGCGCCCGACAAAAGGACCAACTGTCTTTCTTTTGAAACGTTTTAGTGGCAAACTGAGCCCGATTTTATTTCTTATGAACAATTCTAGGTTAAAATAAAACTTTTGACAATAAATTCTAGTCCAAAATGCAGAAATACGCCAAAAAATGTTTTTCTTAGTGATTTATTAGTGATGGTTGGCGACCTTGCGCTAAATGTCATTTTTCACGTGTGATTATCCGAGTTGGCTGATGCAATAATTTCCCAACGTTTTTAAGTGTTTGTTGCGGAAAATTCGCAGTTTTTTATATTTGCTTCACCCAAGACAAGTCTCCTTTATAGTGAAAAACCCCCCAGGAGTGTGAAAATCATGGCAGAAGACGACGCGGTGAGTAAAACAGCCCCAATCTGTCACGTCCAAATCTGAGGTTATGTTTCCTCAGATTTTCGACCCGTCTCTCAAGAAGAAGAAAAAGAAGAAGAAGACGACGTTTGACATTGAAGCGGCGTTGGCCGAGGGCGGGAATGAGGCGCAAGACGCCGCCCCCGAGCCTGAAGCAAAGGAGGAAGAGCAGGATGATGCCAACGTTGATATAGATTTGGATTTCACGAAGAAGAAAAAGAAGAAGAAGAAACCGTTCACGTCGGAGGATTTGGATGCCGTCGCCGGGGAAGGAAAAGACGAGGGGAACGAAGGGGGGAATCAGGATGATGGGGCGTTGGATGATAATTTCGACTTGGAGGTTGATTTCAGTAAAACGAAGAAGAAAAAGAAAAAGAAGAATCTGGGGGATCTCATCGCCGAGGCTGACGAGAAACACGAGGATAAGGAAAATGGTATTTATATTTCGGTTTTTTGGGGGGTTTAGCGACTATTTTTATTGGGTTTGTTAACATGCTGCACTTCAGTTGAGCGAATTCCGGAATCAGGTAACACTTTTTTCTTTACAAAAAACAAAGAATTGCTCATTTTTTTTAAACTACTAAAAAGTTCCAAGCTAAAGATGTTCATTTCTAAAAATTCAGTGCTATAACCGGTCATCACTAAAACGTTCAGCAAAAAAAAGGAATCTGCAGTGTCGGTAATCTCATTTTTAAATTTTTGTTTTTTAGTGGACGAAAATTCGGCCGTGTGGATGACCTCTGACCGCGACTACACCTACGACGAGCTTTTGAAACGTGCCTTCGAAATAATGCGCGATAAAAACCCGGACATGGCCGCCGGCAAGAAACAGAAATTCGTGATGCGGCCGCCCCAAGTGGTCCGAATTGGTACTAAAAAATCATCATTTGCCAATTTTACAGAAATCTGTAAAATGCTCCATCGCCAGCCTAAACATTTGCTAGATTTTCTATTGGCTGAATTGGGTACTAGTGGGTCAGTGGACGGTAATAGTCAATTGATTATCAAAGGAAGGTTCCAACAGAAGCAAATCGAGAATGTTTTGAGAAGGTTTGTGGTGGTTTTGATCGATTTTTTGATTGGTTGGGTGTTTCAGATATATAAAAGAGTACGTCACGTGTCACACGTGTCGTTCCCCTGATACAATCCTGCAGAAAGACACGAGATTATTCTTTTTACAATGCGAAACGTGCGGTTCGAGATGTTCAGTGGCGAGTATCAAGTCAGGTTTCCAGGCTGTTACTTCGAAACGAGCTGCAATAAGAGCGAAAACAGCCTAGGTTGGTAGTTAGAATCGCAATATTTATACTTATTTTTAATTCAAACTAGGTGTTGTGTACAATTTGTACGTAAATTAGCCAATTGTTGAATAAACAAGATTGTAACACAATAAAATTTATTTATTTCAAACCTGAGGAACAACAATGATTTGCTTCAAATCTGGAAGCAAACCTAAATTAACCAACAAATTATATATCACATTTCTAAACCATAAATTGAGCCTATTTAAACTGAAACAAATGAATTAATCCATTTAATTTAATCCCGAAGCAACTTACAATAAAACCACTTCAAAGTAGATTTTTAAAGGAGTTTGGAGAAATTTTTTTGAACTCTCGTCCTTAAGGGCTGTTTTTGTAGCCGCCCTTGCTAAAACTGTGTATCTATCAATTGGATTACCATGGTCGTATGCTATAGCCCGGATTGTGTTCAAATTTCTAGAAAAACAAACAAACGTAGCGAACGAGTGACTCAAACTATATTTTTTTACCTGATAACAAGTAACAAAGAAGTGGGCATCAACCTCAAAGCCTTCATAATAGCATCAAACCTCGTCCTTGCAATTTCAGTCATGTGTTTCAAATCTTCTTCAGTCAACCTCACGTGTAATTTAAATTTGTGTCTTCGTAAAGGCGCTTGTGTCAAAATTTCGGCAAAAACAACATAATCTAGGAGACGCTAGGTGAAAAATTGTCACTGAAAGCTTGAAATTACCTTCAACTCCTAATTGTTTCGAATATAATTTCATGTGTTCGTGGTCTTGTAACACTATGGCTTTCCACATGTGACTCAAAGCCACCATTTCTTGGGGTTTTAGACTTTGGTATAAGCCGTGGTCGAGGAGGACTAGTTGGGTTTTGCCCTCCACTCGTCTGACCAAAACTACAAAAAAAAAWTGCGTTGCAAGTGCGCCAATTGGCTCATTAATCGCCGATGAAAATTTTCAAATTTCATTTTTTGTAGAGTTCAGAGTTTTTCAACAAGAAGACTCATATTTTTGGCTGAAAATTCACTTTTTTCAGGACAATTTCAATTTTTTCAAGCGTTTAAGCAAGTTTTTTTTTTACAAATTCACCGATTTTTCACTTCTGGCTTTAAAAGAATCACAAAATTTTTTTGCGTCCAAAGTGACGTTATTTTTGCCCTTTTTGAACTTTTAAGCACATTTTTGAGCAAAAAATTCATTTTTCCAGACAAATTTTATTACATCCTGCTTGGATCAAATTTTTCGTCATTTAAGCAAGTTTTTTTGTTACACTTTTTTTACGGTATTTCGCTTAGATTTTCAAAAAGTTACAAATTTAGTTCGAAAATTATGGTGTTCTTGCCTTTTTGAGCATTTAAACACGGAAAAAACCCAAAAATGAGGCTATTTTTGAGCAAAAAACTCACTTTTTTCAATATTTCGATAAAATAGGTTAGTTTTCCGTTTTTTTTTTTATAAAAAAGATCTCAAAAAAAACTAATTTTTCGCTAAAAATTCATATTTTTCAGATAGATTTTGTCGAAAAATTACCGTATTTTGACGAGAATTAGGTCATATTCGATTTTTTCGAGCGTTTGAGCAATTTTTTTACAATTATTAATTATTAATTATTTGTGCTTTTTAAGCCTTTGAGCACCTTAAGGAACAAAACCCTATTTCTCGTTAAAAATTCATTCTTTCAGGCAGATTTTGGGTAAAATATTTCGTCATTTAAGTAGTTTCTTTGTTACAAATTAATTTTTTTACGATATTCACTTAGACTGTCTAAAAAATTAGAAATTTTGGTCAAAAATTACGATATTTTGCCTTTTTTGGAGAATTTGCGAGATTATTTTGTTAAAAATGTATTTTTTTTTCAATAAAAACCCAACAGTTAGGTTATTTTTTAGCAAAAAGTCTACTTTTTCGCAAAATTTTGATAAAACTGGCCAAAAAATTACATTATTTTTTACTTTTCCAGCGTTTTTTCGCCAAAAACCAACTTATTTTCTTATGACAACTGGGTTAAAAGGTCAAAAWTGGCGTTTTTGAAGCACCTTTTCAACCAAAAAATTCACTTTTTTTAGCAAATATTTTGCTCCATTTGGCTGAAAAATAAATATTTTTGTGTTTCAGAATTTTTATTTTAGATTTCCATGAGACAAAATATTTTTTTAAGTACTACTTACTTACTTGAGCATGGCTGAAGAATACACATTTTTTTTATTTGGGTCAAAAAAGACCTTATTTTTAGCCCATTTTGAAGCAAAAAACTCAGATTTTTTCGGTAAAAATTCATTCTTTGAGGCAGGTTTTGTTAAAATAGATGGAAAAAATCACCTGTTTGAGTCGAGTAATAATTATTACGATTTAACGTAATTTAGCAAGTTTTTTTCCTATATTTTGTTACGGTAATTCGCTTTGCCTGAGTTTTTTTTTAGTTATTTTTTTTTCACACAAAAATCCAAAAATGGGGTTATTTTTCAGCAATATTTAGTTAAAATAGGTCATTATTTTGAATTTTTCCAGCGTTTTGTCACCAAAAACTGACTTATTATTATCCCAGATTTTATGAAAATTTTCAAACATTGGCGTTTTTGAAGCACATTTTCAACCCAAAAATTCACTTTTTTGTATTTCCAAAAGCGAAAAACATTTTCTTAAACGACTACTCACTGTTTCCAGCATGRGGATCCCCATGCACAAACCCCGTCTGAAAAATCTGGTGCCCAAAAACTTCAAACAACTTAATATTGATATCTTTCAACGAAAACTTATTTTCTTTCAAAAACTTAACATCACTAATCTTGCAACCATCAATATACTCCATCACTAAAACCCTCTAAAACCAAAAAACTGTGCTTAGAATTCAATTTCCTCACTAACATACCGAGCTTGTGAGATCCCAGTAGACTTTGGGAACATGAACAAAATCAAACTTTTCCATATCTTTGGCACACTTTTCGGCATTTTTCCCCTCGTTAACAAAATCCAACTCTTGTTTCAACGTATCAACGACCTCTTCCAGCACCCAACCGAAGTTGAAATCCGGATGCATCACCCCCACCACTTTCAACAACATTTTAATAGTGGCAACATCGCTCAAAAACCGCTTTTGCAAATCAATGTATTGCACTTTAACGGCCACTTCTTCCCCGGTTTGAGTCTTGGCTTTGTACACTTGAGCCAAACTGGCAGCTGCGATTGGATTCGGGTCGAAATTTTCGAAAATTTCCTCGGGGGTTTTCTTGAAATCTTCGAGAAATAATTTGACTAGTTCATTGGGGTGTCGTGGGAGACACCTGTCTTGGAGGGCTTTCAACGTTTTGGTGTACTCTTTGGGGAGGATGTGCGACATGGAGACTAGCCCTTGGCCCATTTTGATGTAGGGCCCCCCGTTGGTGAGACAGGCTTCGAGGATGCGGTCGGCCGCCCTCTGGTGGACGCGACTCATCATAATTTCGTAGTTTGGGTCGGATTCGGATAAGCCGAGCATGGAGAAGTAGTAGTCGAGGGAGATCAAGAGTCCGGTTTTGATTGAGCTGCAATTGTTTTTTTTTTTTTTTGTGGGATTTTTGAACGAATTTGGGACTTACCGACAAAATCGGGGGATTCCCCCGATAAAACTTAGGTTCTTTTCGTCGGAGAGAAAGGCGCCCCCAAAAGCCAGACTTCCGACAATTGTGACATTTCGAATGGAAAATGACTTTTTTCGAGACCGGGTTTGGGAGTAAGTCCGGCTAAGGAATTGGCGGTTTAGTGTGGCATTTAAAAGGCAGCGGCCGAACTTGTTCATTTTTTAAACTAAACCTGAAAAAAAAATGAAAATGACAAACTACTACGCCACTGGTTTGGTCAATACTGAATGACACTAGAAATGTAACATCTTGAAAGGATAGAATCTCAGCAACTACGTAATAAAAAAATTGTTGACCTGGACAAACAGTATTTCATATAACATTTTTAAACGAAACCTGAAAACAAATTCAAAAAACGATCAGAAATGATCAACAAAATGGCGGTTGAATGTGACAGTTAAAAGGCACTGTCCGAAATTGATCATTAACTAAACTAAAGTTAAAAATTGAAAATGACAAACTACTACGCCACTGGTTTGGTTTTCGTAAGCTACACTGAATGACACCTTAAAAGGATAAAATATCAGCAACTACTACGTAATAAAAAATAAAAAATCTTATTTCATATAATGACATTTTTAAACGAAACCTGAAAAAAATAAAAAACGATCAGAAATGAACGAAAAAGGAATGGGTCGAGCTTATTGTTCATTTTTTCACAAAAATGACTGAAACTACTACGCCACTGGATTAAAAAAAAACTGTCCACTCGACAAATCTTATTTCATATAATGAAATTAAACGAAACCTGAAAAAATTAAAAAAAAAAACGATCAGTAATGATCGAAAAACGAATTGGTCGAGCTTATTGTTCATTTTAAAAGTAAACCTGAAAAAAATAAAAATAACTGAAACTATTACGCCACTGGATTTTTTAATTGTAAGACACTAGAAATGTAACACCTTAAAACGATAGGAGGATATGACAGCAACCGATAAAAATAAACATTTGTCGTCTTTGCCAAACATTATTATCTCACATAACATTTTTATTAAACCAAATCTAAAAAAATTTTTTTTAAAAGGATCAGAAATGACCGAAAACCGGCTACGCTACTGTAGTCGCAGTGATTAATCGCAATTTATACTGAATGACACTAGAAATGTGAGACCCATCAGCAACCAAAAGACACCTAGTATATACAGGGTGAACAGAAAGTATGGAACCAAGCGTTTTTTTTTAAATCATTTGTCTTCAGAAAATAATAATTAATAAAAATTAGAGTACTATAAAAAAAAAGTGATCGATTTTTGAAAATTAATTTTTTGTTTTTGAGTTGTTTTTTTCGAAAATGTCAAAAAAATTCTATAAGAAATGAATCAAATGTAAATATTTGTAATCCTTAGATCATAACCTTTGTAAAAGAAAGATTTTATGGTGGATTCCCATTTAAAAAATTAAAAAAATGCAAAACTTGGAAATTAGAAGAAATTAAAAAAAAAGAAAATTAAAAACTGTGACATTTTAACATTTTTATTGTATATCATTATGTACTATTTGTTTTTCGTAAAGTAATTAGATTATGCAAAAAAAACGTTTGCTACATTTTTTTTAATTAGCCGTTTTTATTTCTTTTAACAATACAGACAGGGTGAACCAAGCGTGTTTTTTTATCATTTATCTTCAGAAAATAAAAATAAAAATTAAAGTACTAAAAAAATGTGATAAAATATTGAGAATTAATTATGTTTTAAAAAAATGAATCAAATGTAGATATTTGTGATTCTTAGATTCATAGATCATAAGCTTTGTAAAAAAAGATTTTATAGTGGATTCCCATTTAAAAAAAATAAAAAAAATTGCAAAACTTGAAAATTAAAAGAAAAGAAAATTAAAAACTGTCACATTTTTATCGTATATCATTATGTACTATTTTTTTTTTAAATTATGCAAAAACTCTTGCTACATTTTTTTTAATTAGGCGTTTTTATTTTTTGTAACAAGTTATTCCAAATTTGACGTTTCAAAATTTTTTTTTGTTTGTGTTTTTTTTGTATATATTTTTTTTCATTGGAAAAATAATATTTTGCGACATAAGTTTCTATACTTTTATCACATTTTACTTCAAGTAATGCTTGACGTAACAAATTTCTGATTAAAGTGGCCAATGACTGAAATTAAGTTGGCAACACTGAATAACGCAGACAGAAATTAGCCGTCTCAAATTGTCTATGAAATGACTATAAGTTCTGTTTAAGCCAACAAAATTGAAAGTCATAGGCCACTTTGATCAAAAATGTAATGCTCTAATCTCCCTATACCCCACTATCTGTTACGCCACTGGACCTTCGCAGTAAAAACGCACAGAACTGTAAATGAACACGTCCTATTTACAGTCACGAACACTTTAATAAAGAAAAAAAAAAATGAAAAGTGTAAAATTTTATGACACGAAGATTTATAAATGACTCACCGAATACATAACGTTGCCTTTACTAAAGTACATTTTACGATTTTATGACCAGTCATAAAAACTAAACAAACTGTCGTGTCGTCAGACCCTTACAATACAAAAACAAGCCACATTTTTTTAAACAAAATTTATTTATTTAATCAAGGGGGATAAATCTAGTCATCGGTGATTGTCGTAATTAAAAAAAAAACAATTCACAAGCCACTGCGATCAAAACAAAGTAGTCGGAAATCAGTTACTGCGCAACATCTCGCCGAGAGAGACAGCGAATGGCACCAACCGTGTGCAAGAGAGAGCCACGACATGCCCCCGCACTACCCCGACCCAAACCCATGCAAACCCCTGAAAAATGGTTTATTCAGCGCCTGCACTGGGCTGAATGCTGCTGTGCTTGTTGAAACCAGTTAGACTTTGTGTTTTTCGACCCCGTCAACCGTTGTTTTCAAAGTAACCGCAAACGTAAGGTATGTCAATGTCACTTAACAAAAAAAATAACAAAACAAACACGACTGTCATCATTTTCACCAATCAGCTGATCGCGATGATAGCCGTTGTCACGGTGACAATTACGCAACACTCACCGTAATAATACGATCGTCGATTGTTTTTCGTAAATTTGTCAAAATTTCTTTGTTCTTTTGGTGATTCAAAACGACCGCTTGGATCGATGATGCAATATTGCGGGTGAAAGGGAGACCGAGATGGTGTAGGGGATGGGGCGAGAGCGAGACGGACAATGAAAGGCGCTTGCGCGYTGATTTTGTTTTGTTTGTATGCGCCGGCCTACTAGACAGCCTGGCATTTTCGTTTTACSCATCTCTAATTGTTGTTAATTACAAAAATCCTTGATTTGAAATTTTAAATCGAATCAGTAGAGTCATTAGCAACGACGTTACTATGGCGACAAGGGGTTAAAATTTAATTCGGGCTTTTGACCTGTTTAAGGTCATCCTGGATGAGTCGGGGTGACGAAAAAATGTGTCCTTGAATAAATTAAAAATACACAAGATTAGACACCAACGCATTATGATAACGAATTTGAACAAACAAAAATTCTTAGACAGTTTGGAAGATTATAATCATTTYATCACTGATTATTTTGTTTGTGATTTAGCGAAATTTTTTCGTAACCTTTGTCTCTCGATGTTTTCGGAATATTATTATGACTGGTTTCTTAAATGTCAAGTGCAATGATGTAACGATAGCTTCATGTTAATTGAGCCACTTTAAATCTTTTTTACATATTTTTGTGCACTCTTTCATAACATCATTTGCAGATTGTCTCACCTTTTTGTTATTTCATTGCAATATACAATAATGTACTTTATTAAATACAACGAAAAACTTAAGATTTTTAGATTGCAATGTCAGTGTTGCCAAACTGCTTAAAAAAGGCAACATCGTCTATAACTCTATATCATAGTTGGCCACTTTCTATTACTTACGTTTTTGTTTTTTTTCCTATTTTTAGCCTACTTCTAATTCAAAATCAGTTCTCTAAATTAAAAAATAGGCTTTTTTCTGAGACACAATGTAAATTTAGGTTTTAGTTTTTTGAAGTATACCGGGTGTTCCGTCTAAACCCCACATTTGAAGTATTGGGACTTGGAATAATCGTATTTATTTGAAAATTGGCACATTGCCATAAACTATTAAGTCCTCCTAAATGAAAATATTTTCAAGATGGCGGCACTTCCGGTTATACCGGAAGTCGGTTTCAACTTTCTTATTTTTAATGGAAAGGTATATTTTTTACTGCGTTTTTGGATTAATCGGGTTATTTTAAGGGAGTTTTCATCAGCTTTCCCTATACCTAAATTTAGCCGTTTTTGAAATATTTGAAATTTTTGGATCTGCACCTTCCACTTTAAAAATCGGTAACTCTGCCATTTTTTAAGATTTTGAATTAGTTTTTTTGGCGTTTGAAAGAGAAAGCTTAGATCTTTTTTCTGGTGTTTTCAAATTTTGAAAAAAAAAACATATCCCAAAATTTTAAGGTTATTTTTGTAATAATTCAAATACTCATAACTCAATTTTTTCAAATGAAATACCCCAATTTTTATTTTACTTTTTCAATATTTGAAAACACTGGAAGAAAGATCTAAACTTTCTCTTTCAAACGCCAAAAAAACGAAATCAAAATTTTTAAAAATAGCAGAGTTACCAATTTTTAAAGTGGAAGGTGCAGATCCACACATTTTTGAAAAACTCCAAATATTTCAAAAACGGTTAAATTTAAGTATAGGGAAAGCTGATAAAAACTCCCTTAAAATGACCCAATTAATCCAAAAACGCAGTAAAAAATATAGCTTTCCATTTAAAATAAGAAAATTGAAACCGACTTCCGGTATAACCGGAAATGCCGCCATCTTGAAAATATTTTCATTTAGGAGGACTTAATGCATTATGACTATGTACCAATTTTCAAATAAATACGATTTTTCGAACTCCCAATACTTCTAATGTGGGGTTTAGACGGAACACCCTGTATAATATGAAAAAGTCTTACTACCGTTTATGTTTTCGTTTGCGGTGTTGCCATGTTTTTACCGTATTTACTCCAATTAATTATTTAATTGAAAGTAAGTGATAATAATTATTAATTAATGTCTGTTCTGTGTTTCCTGTTGACGCCACTTCGATTATTTAAATTAAATCACGTGATTATCACACTTTAACCATCCTCTCTTTTGAGGAAATCCCATAGAAACAATGAAAGTGAGCGTTAGCCCCCCACCCTGCTTAAGGGGGCCATTATCTCGTAGAAAAAACAACGATAAAGGCCCCTTCACGTTACTATTTCTCTTCGTGTTTTCATTCGAGTAAATCAGCAACGATCGCAATTACTTTTCTACGATTTCTGCTTCTATTATTTTCTGGTTATTGCCCCGTCGTCGAGCTCGACGTAAACGAGACTCGCTGATGGTTGTTTTGCTCATTTCAGATAATCCCAAGACAAACATCAACGTTTGCTTTGTGAGACTAATAAAAAAAAGATGATGCGACTTGAAGACACAAAGTCGGGGTGAAAAATCTAGAAAAAAAAGTTTTTTTCCTGTCGTTTTTTTTAATTAGTTGTGAAATGTTGACGGCAAACAAAGCGAAATGAACAAGTAGGGCGATGACCTAGTGACAAACATACCTAATCTCTCACTTTTGAGCTTGTTAATTATCAAAATAACAACAAACTGGTGGAAAAATAACAAATTAAATGTTTCATGATTACAAATTTCATTTACAAATTTAAATTATCAAATTTAAAAGTTACTATAGTAGAAACGAAAAAATGGCAACGTCGCAAATAAATTTTAAAACCTCACTTTTTGGGGCCACCTAAACGCTAATACCAACCTTGAAGTTTTACCAAGTTTTACCACCAATATGAAATTATATAACTAATTTATTAAT